GAGGATGTTCCTTCAATTCCCTTTCCGTCCGGGCAGAGGAGGCGGGGGGGAGGAGGTTCCTTCCCTTTCCACCCCCTATCCGACAAAAAGGAGAAGGAGGAACAGGAAGTGGGGAAGAAGGTTCCTTCCCTTCCCTTCGCCTCAGGGAAGAAAAAGAGGAGGTCCCCTTCCTGCCCCTTCTCCATCAGGAAGGGGAGGAAGAGGAGGGGGAGGAAGAGGAGGAAGATGCCCACTCCTTGCCCTTTCCCTCAGGGGGCGGAGGGGGGGAAAAAGGAGGACAATCCTTCCCTGACTTTCCCTCAGGAAGAAAGAAGAGGCAGTTCCCTTCCCGTCCCTGTCCCCCGGGAAGGAGAAGGAGGATGTTCATTCGCTTCCCTTTCCCTCAGAGGGTGGCGGAGAAGGAGGAGGCTCACTCCCTTCGTTTTCCCCCAAGAAACACGAAAGGGAAATTCATGCCCGCCCCTTCCCTCAGGAAGCGGGAGGAGGAGGCGGAGGAGGAGCAGGAGGTTCCGCCATTTCCCTTTCCATCAGAAGGAGGAGGAGGGGGTACCTCCCCTTCCCTTTCCCGTAAGAAAGAAAAGAGGATGTTCCTTCCTCCCCCTGCCCTTCAGGACAGCGGGGGAGGAGGAGGTTTCGTCCCTTGCCTTTACCTCAGAAGGAGGAGGAGGAGGGGAATGAAGCTCCTTTCCTTTTCTCTCCCTCAGGGAGGACGAGGAGTAGGTTCCGTTCCTGCCCCTTTCCATCAGAAGGAGGAGGAATAGGAGGAGGAGCAGGGTCATTCCCTGCCCTTTCTGTCAGGAAGGAGGCTGAGGATGCGGTTCCTTCCCTCCCTCCTCCAACGAGGAGGATATTTTCCCTTCCCTTTCCTTCGGGATGGAAGAGGCGTAGGAATAGAAGGAGGAGGAGGTTCCCTTCCCTTCCTCCTTATGGAAAGGGTGAGTTCTGACGCAGCAAAAGAGAAACAAGAAAGAGAGAGAGAGAGAGAGAGCAGAAGAGATACGCAGCACCCCGCAATTGCGGATAAGAGTGAGGGAGCGGGCGCGGGCGACGCGGGCGTCGAGCCGGCGGACCTCGTGGCCCTCACCTTCACTGTCGATGGCGCCTTCCTCCTCCTCCTCCTCCTCCTCCTCCTCCTCCTCCTCCTCCTGTTCCTCCTCCTCCTCCTCCTCCTCCTCCTCCTCCTCCTCCTCCTCCTCGTCCGCGTGCTCGTCCTCATCGTCGTCGTCGTCGTCGTTATCGTCGTCGTTATCGTCGTCGTCGTCGTCGTCGTCGTCGTCGTCGTCGTCGTCGTCGTCGTCGTCGTCCGCCTCCTCCTCTTCCACTCTCCTCCTCCTCTTCCTCCTCTTCCTCCTCCTCCTCCTCCTCCTCCTCCTCTCCTCCTCCTCTTCCTCCCCATCCTCCTCCTCTCCTCGTCTGGTCCTCGTCCTCCTTCTGCTCCTCCCGCTCCTCCTCCTCCTCCTCGTCCTCCTCCTCCTCCTCCTCCTCCTCCTCCTCCTCCTCCTCCTCCTCCTCCATCCCGATCCTCCCCCCTTCTCCTTTCCGTCGTCGTCGTCCTCCTCCTCCCCCTCCTCCTCTCTCCTTTCTCGTCGTCCCAAACCAATGCGAGCAAGCCCGCCGCAGGCGCCGATTTGCGTGCTCTGAGAAATTCAACGCCGGGGGGATCGCTGGTGGGCCACCCGGAACGAATGCAAGAAACAGCCCGCCGCAGGCGCCGAATTTCTAGTTTGTTCAGTGAACGTAGTTTGGGTCGCGGGTGGGTCGCGGGCTATCAACCTCCACCTGGAAGAAATTCAAAGACAGCCCGCCGCAGGCGCCGAAAATTTTGATTCGCACACTGAACTCATCCGCCGCAGGCGCCGAAGCTTTGGCTTGTTACGTGAACGTAGTTTGGGTCGCGGGTGGGTCGCAGGCTCACCACCTCCAGCTGGAAGGAATTCAAAAACAGCCCGCCGCAGGCGCCGAAAATTTTGATTTGTACACTGAACGCGGTTTGGGTCGCGGGTGGGCCGCAGGTTCTCCACCTGGAACGAATGCAAAAGAAGCTCGCCGCAGGCGCCGAAAATTTTGGGTGGTCGCGGGGTGGGTCGCGGGCGCGGTTTGGGTCGCGGGTGGGTCGCAGGTTCTCCACCTGGGACGAATGCAAAAGAAACCCAGCGCAAGCGCCGAAAATTTTGGGTGGGTCGCGGGGTGGGTCGCGGGTGGGTCGCGGGTGGGTCGCGGTGGGTCGCGGGTGGATCGCGGGTGGGTCGCGGGTGGGTCGCGGGGTGGGTCGCGGATGGTTCGCGGGTGTTTCGCCGGTGGGTCGCGGGTGGGTCGCTGGGGGCGTCGCGGGGTGAGTCGCGGGCGGGTCGCGGGATGGGTCGCCCGCTAGGAAAGCAATCCTCAGGTCGTACCGGCTCGAGGTGCTGCGTCCATCTCTCTTGCGGTATGACCGCGCAGCATACGCGAAGGCTGCCATGCCAATTTTGGCACCCTTTAATCGCTCTTTTGCCGCTTTGTG